ACACATCTAAGAACCTCAACAAATTCTAAGCACAAGAAGCATAAAGAAAATTTCCCCAAGCTATACCATAATCAAATCACTTCAAACTAGTAATAAGAAACTCTTAAAGCAGCCAGAGGGGAAAAAGACCCATTCTGTACAGAGAACCAAGGATAATAAAGGCTGCAAACCTCCTATCAGAAACAATGTCAGTCAGGAGACTGTAGACAATGCAAGACAGTCGTCTTCAAAGTACTAAAAGTAAAAACCTGTCAACCTATATTCTATACCCAATCAAAATAGCATTCAAAATAACGGCGAAATACTTGTTCAGATACAGAAAAGACAGTGGAATTCACCATCAAAAAGGTCCAAAGTCAAAAGAATGGGTTTATGAAAACAGCAGTAAGCCAGGCAACATTATTAATATCAAAGTAAGAGTCAATGTAAAAAGTATCAAATGGGACAAGAGCTTATTGTTCTTATTGCTTTTTTGCAAGTTTATTGTTAGTTGATGAATTCTATAATTCATAATGAGGGTTATCTTGCAAACTGTGTGTAAACGTAATATAGTCTCCAGGAAACAAGAGTGACAGAAACATAACTGTAGTAAGAAATATATTTTCCCTCTTTTAATTCTTAAACCAGGTAGGCAAAGGATAACTGGAATGTAGAAACTTAGACAGGTTATCACCGGTAATGCTAATTTAAGTGAAACATACAACCTCTACAGTCTACAAATAACACATCTTCTTTTTTATTTTTTTTAGGACATTTACCAAAAAATAAAAAAGAGGAAAAAAATGGGCACACACACCAGAGCACATCTGATTACACGTGATTACACACTGTAATAAATCAAGAAATATTAAAGAAAAAATCTTAAAACCCCCACCCAATAAATTAAACAAAATTCTTAATTCTAAAACAATGAAAAAACTAAAACTGGAGTGTCAAATTCACAAAATTAGGAATAAAAAATGGACTATAAAAACATTATAGAAACTTTAAGACAGAAGACAATTCCACACTAAATTTCAAAATCTCATGGATAAAAAGTTTTACAGAAAAGTACAAATTATCAGAACTGACCTGAGAAGAAAAAAAAGTCTGAACAGATTACTGTGTAGCAATTCTGAAATAGTTCAAATGATTTCCAAAAGCACACCAGGCCTAGAATAATTTATGGGAAAATTTTGTAAAGCAAATTAATTCCTATGCTGTATAAACTGTTTCAGAGGGGAAAGAGGAGCAAGGGAATAACAGTGGGAGAAAACCTACTACTTTTATTTAAACTCTGGTATCTTTTTCTTTTTTTTAAAGATTTTATTTATTTATTTGACAGACAGAGATCACAAGTAGGCAGAGAGGCAGGCAGAGAGAGGAGGAAGCAGGCTCCCTGCTGAGCAGAGAACCGATGTGGGGATCCATCCCAGGACCCTGGGATCGTGACCTGAGCCAAAGGCAGAGGCTTTAACCTACTGAGCCACCCAGGCGCCCCTAAACTCTGGTATCTAAATTAGATATGAAAAAACTATGAGCCCGCCTCACTTATTAACAAAGAAAAGTTATAAATCATATGGCATTCTGCTTTGTTTTCTTTAATCTCTTGTGGGTCAAGTGCACTATGAGTATGGCTCTCTGAAGAAACCGAATTCTTGCTCCCATCCCACTGAGGGCAAGGTCCTCACCCATGCTAAAACTACCACCAGAAAGCCAGCTTGCAAGCTCTCTCTGAGCTCTTCATTCAAGATCACTCCTATGCTTCACGTGGGAAGGACTGCTAGGACTACCCTGCTAAAGGCGTTGTCTGAACTTTAAATGTGGGCACTGGGGGCAGCACTGAAAACTTGTCAGTGATATGCAGATTCAAAGACAATCTGCTGATGCACTTAAAAGCAGGAGTAAGTCAAAGAAGTACAGGAGTAATTATGAGATTTCAGCAAGGGCGCCTGGGTGGCTTAGTCAGTTAAGCATCTGCCTTTGGCTCCATTTACGATCCCAGAATTCAGGGATGGAGCCCCATGTAGGGCTCCCTGCTCCGCGGGGAGTCTGCTTCTTCCTCTGCCCCTCACGCAGCTCTCGCTTACTCTCTCTCTCTCAAATACATGACTAAAATCTTGGAAGAAAAGATTTCAGCAAATGTCGTCAAGGTTTGAGGCAATGAAGGGAACGGTGACCATGGAGGACAGAGAGGTACAACCGGCAGGAGTGACCGAACTGCTCTGCAGGAAGACGCAAGGGGTAGCGCGAGACACAGACGATCCCATCCGGGGAGTGGACAGGTGACCTCCAACATGGGAGAAAATATACGCAAATCACATAACTGTTAAGTGATCTGTATCCAGGATATCTGAAGGAGTCTTAAAATTTAATAGCAGACAACTGAAAAATGGGCAAAGCATTTGAACAGACTTTTCTCCAAAGAAGATATACAAACGAGCACACAAAAAATGCACAGTATCGTTATTCACTAGGGAAAGGCAAATTCAAACCACAAGGACAGATAACCATTCAGATGGCTATGATAAGTAAAACAGACAAAAACAATTACTGACATAGATGTGGAAGGATGAGAACCATTATATATTGCTCGTGTGAATATAAAGTGGTGCAGCCACTTTGGAAAACAGTTTGGCAACCCCCCGTGGGTTAAACACAGAGCTACCATGTAACTCAACAATTCTACTCATAGGTCTATACCCAAGAGGACTGAAAACATATGATAGGATATCCACACAAATATCCACAATAGCAATATCTATCATGGAAAAAAGTGGAAAAAACCCAAAGGTCCTCATCTGCTGACTGAATAAACAGAAGGTGGTCTATCCATACAATGAATATTCCTTTTTACTATGTAAGTTTTCTTTTTTTAAATATTTTACTTACTTATTTGACAGACAGAGATCACAAGTAGGCAGAGAGGCAGGCAGAGAGAGAGGGGGAAGCAGGCTCCCCGCTGAGCAGAGAGCCCAATGCGGGGCTCGATCCCAGCACCCTGGGATCATGACCCGAGCGGAAGGCAGAGGCTTTAACCCACTGAGCCACCCAGGTGCCCCTATATAAGTATTCTTCTATTATGCCATTCTTTTGGCAATAAAAAAGAATGAAGCGCTGACGGATGTGATAACATGTGGCTGAACTTTGAAAACATGATGCTAAGTGAAAGAAGTTAGATACAAAAGGCCACATCTTGTATGATTCCATTTATAAGAAATGTCCAGAACAGAAAGATTTATAGACAAAAAGTGAATCAGTGGCTGCCAGAAACTATGGGGAAAGGAAAGGGTAGTGACTGACTGCCAATTGGGGTTTTTGGCCTGGGTCGGGGTGGGGGATAAAAATCTTCAAATTAGATTGTGGTGATGGCTATCTGAATATACTAACCCACTAAATATACTAAAAAACTTTTACTTGCACATGAATTATATCTTAATAAAGCAGTCTGAAAAATAAAGTAATGCAAGGTAAACTAGTTACTGACAACAAAGTTTCCAAACTGGGTAACTAGGGAAAATCTAATTATAGAGATAACAACAGCATCTACTAATCATTAAATGTGTGCATTGTACCAAAATCTGTACAAAAGGACTGTAAATATTTTATCTTAGTCCTCAAAATAACCCACTGGATAGGTATTTTTTATTCCTATTGTATAGAATATGAAACAGACAAAGAGGTACACCACCTGCTTAAGGTCATATAACTAGTGGGTGGCGAAATTGGGTTCAAAACACTTGCTCAAGCCCAGTATAGCCTGATGACAGTATGAAAGGTAAAGGTGAATATTATTTTCACAAATAAATGGAAATAATCTATAATATACCACACATTCCTAAACTCCAGAGCAAATTATTTACAATCCTCAGACTTAATGATGTACTAGCAATTTTATTTATCTTGCACATAGTTAAGTTTTAAAACAATGACAACAATAACCCAATAGTAACCCAATCTATCCCCACTCACTCCCTCCATAGTTCACGGAGGCTCTCTGACTTTTTTTTTTCTTTTCTTTTTTTTTCTTTTTTTAAAGATTTTATTTATTTATTTGACAGACAGAGATCACAAGTAGGCAGAGAGGCAGGCAGAGAGAGGAAGGGAAGCAGGCTCCCTGTTGAGCAGAGAGCCCTATGCGGGGGTCATAGGGCTCGATCCCAGGACCCTGGGACCATGACCTGAGCCAAAGGCAGAGGCTTTAACCCACTGAGCCACCCAGGCGCCCCTCTCTGGCTTTTTTAAAAGCTGGGAAAAACTGGGAAATATTGAAGAATCACCGAGCTCTAGGTGATCTTCAAGATATCTTCCAACTTTGATGAGTTTAACAGTAGCCTGTATTAATTATACAGCTAAAGAATAGTATGTCAAGTTTTATACATTATTTAAACACAACTACAAGTCTGAAAACACAGACAGCAATATAATAGGGAAGCAGACCCATCAGTCCTGAAGCCCTCCAGAGATTTCATAATCAGATCAGAGGGTAATCTGCATGCTTACTGTAGGGAGCACATTTAAATACAGTAAATACGACTTCAGTAAATCTAAAGACTGGCGCAAATGTATAAAAATACCAAGACCCCATGCCCACCAAAATTCTTTGTATTAGCCAAATGCTTTACAGTTCACAAAACAGACTAGGGAAACCTGGGCTCTTGTAATATCCCTGAATCCTCATACTAATTTTAAAAATGAGTAAACTGAAGCTCAGGAAGGTTAAAAGACCTGTCCCACATCATATATCTCAGAAGGGGTAGGTCAGGATTCAAAACAGTTTAATTTAAATCTATTATTTTTCTAAGTTAAAAAAAGTCACTCGGCAGAGAAGTTTCTGTGAAGTTAAATAATGTAAAGCAGTGACTGGTCTTAAAATACACAAGAGCTCCTCCCCAGAATAGAAGTATAAGAAACTCTGGTCTAGAGCAATTAAATACAACTACATCATTATTTTTGCTGAAAAGAAACTATTTTAGTAAAAAATTTAAAAAACCTGTCTTTTTAGTAAGTTCATAGCTTACCTAATGCAAAGCTGTATTCCTGGGAAAAAGCTCTTTATGCCATGGCCATCAGAAAGCAGTAAGGATGAATGAGGAAGAGAAACCCATTTCTCAGTTTTGCTTCAAGTTAAAATCGCACTGACTTCTGAAAGAAAAAAATCATGTTGAAAATGTACAAGAGATGCAGGTGACATTTACCGTGTCTGTGTACCTTCCTAATAAATATTACAGGTGTGTGAGGAGCAGAAAGAAAACTAATCAACACTGGTATTTTTGGTTATATTAACTTCCAATTCTGTACCTTCTTTGCTTCTGTATTGTATTTTTTAGTTTATTTATTCTTCTAAAAGATTTTTATTTATTTATTTGACACAGAGAAAGAGCACAAGCAGGGGGAGCAGCAGGCAGAGGGAGAGGGAGAAGCAGGCTGCCTGCTGAGCAAGGAGCCCAGTGTAGGACTTGATCCCAGGACAGGACCATGGCTAGGCCCAAGGCAGATGCCTAACCTACTGAGCCACCTAGGCACCCCCGTGTTGTATTTATTTTTTTTTAATTAAAAGATTTTATTTATTTGACAGAGATCACAAGTAGACAGAGGCAGGCAGAGAGGTGGGCGGGGGGCGCCGTGGCAGAAGCAGGCTCCCCGCTGAGCAGAGAACCTGATGTGGGGCTCAATCCCAGGACCCTGAGATCATGACCTGAGCTGAAGGCAGAAGCTTAACACACTGAGCCACCCAGGTGCCCCCGTTTTGTATTTTTAATTTAATTTTGAAAAAATCTTAAGATTCACACAAAAGTCACCAAAAAATGCCAAAGGTTCTGTACACCCCTCAATCCCTCACCCAGTTTTAATAACATCTTACATCACCATGGTACACTGGTTAAAAATAGAAAACCAACACTGATCGATGTCTATGTAACTTTACAGAATTAAACTATCCTTTGGAAAAGTCGTTTCAGTCTTCAGACCATGCCAATCAGCATCCCTACAAGTTCTACTTGGAAGACTTCAGGTAAAGAACTTAGTAAAACCTGTTTTAGCATTAAAAAAAAAAATAAGCTACCTACTTGATGAGGCTTGATTCTTCCTTTAATTTTCAGCCACTGCTGAATGTTTTACTTAAAATTCAGGGCAAACATTCCATTGTGGTAAACTCTGAGATTCAAAAGCGAAGGTATTGTTCTAACCACTAACTCCCCACTTATCAGTCATCCTGCCATTACAGTACAATATAGCTAAGGAAATGGTTTTAAATGCCCTCTCATATTCATTAGCATTTGGGGTAAGAAGCTCAACTCAAGGAAGGCAGAAGGCAGAAACAGCATTCAGTTTCAGGAAAATGATTAGCTACAGAAGACCAACAAAATAAAGGAAAATTTTTGTTCTCAACATGTTACAAATAAGATAAAAATCCTTCTATTGCAACTGTACATATAAATAAGGTAAAAAGGAAAAGTTCATGAAAATGATACAGAGTATATTTAACTGATTTTAAGGGGCATATTTCAAAATTTCTGCCATCAGGATGTGATGGCCAAGTGGAAATTTTAATGTTTGTCACTGCCTGAGACAAGGATAGAGCATTCCTGAGAGCCTCATCAGTATTTCTGAAGATACAAAGGAGGACACTGTAGGAAAGTAAGGACTGAACTTGAACTGAAAAGTATTTAAGGGTAGGAATGTTAAAAGTTTGTAACAAACACTTTAACCAATTTATTTCACTTCTTTTTCTTTTTTATTTAGGCTTTAGAATGATGTCATTTAAAAATATCTAAATAAGTCTAAAAATGTTTTCTCAATAAGAATTTTATAAGCCTAGGGTGCCTGGGTGGCTCAGTCAGTTAAGCAGCTGCCTTCAGCTCAAGGTCATCATCTCAGGGTGGTGGGAGAGAGCCTAGAATTGGAGTCCCTGCTCAGCGGGGAACCTGCTTCTCCCTCTTCCTCTGGCCCTTACCCTGCTTCTGCTCTCTCTCTCTCAAATAAATAAAATCTTTAAAAAATAATTTTTTAGAAGCCTAAATGATTAAAAAGCACATGTCATAGCTTAATTGGCAGTGTTTTCTCCTTCTTTGGTGGTAGAGAAAACAATCTGTGGTATCTAGGATTCAATACAGCAGTAATTCGGCTTGATAAACTACAACACCCGCAACCTGAGAGCTTAAAAGAGAACAGAACACAAAGGCCTCCCCCATCAGAACATACACAGGAAATGACACATAATTTTGCATTATCATAATAACAGGGTTATTTTTCCAACCCTAAGAGCTTTCTTCATGTAAAAAGTAAAATCTCGCTCAAATTTCCCATGGGTACGCAGATTTCTGCCTTATATCCAAGGAACATGGAGGGAGAAGAGCTGGGGCAGGAATCTGCCGCAAGTAGAAAACTTGAGGGAAGATTTTAACCAACTTTTTTTTTTTTTTTTAACCAAACTCCTTTCTAAGAACATTAGCTGTGATGAGAGCAGGCATCAACAAACAGTAGGTTCGACTAAATGTTCTAACATCCAAAAATAAATTTTTAAAATCACATTTTCAAAAAAAAAAAAAGAAAAGAAAGAAATAAAAATCACATTTTCAAAGAGCTGATTAATTCCAAGCTTCTCTAATGAGCAGTTCGTTTTTTCCTGTATTGTGGTAAAATATACTTAACATAAAATTTACCATTTTAATGTGTACAATTAGTGGCATTAAGCACATTCACAATGTTGTGCAACCATCACCACTATCCATTTCCAGAACTTTTTCATCACCCCGAACTAAACCTCTGTATCCGTTAAACAATAACGCTCCATCCCCTACTCTGCCAGCCCCTGGTAATCTATATTCTACTTTCTGTCTCTGAATTTTCCTATTTTAGATACCTCACATAAATGGACCCATGAGATAACTGTTCTTTTGTGTCTGGCTTACTTCTCCAGTGAGTACTTTAGTAAAGCAAAGAATGAAATCCCAAATTATGAGGTTTCTTAATAATTTAACTGCACAGTGACACAATCTCTTAACTAAGCAAACAGCCTTCCCAGAAATTCTCCTGTTCCATGAGCCCCAAGGGGCAGAGAATCTTAGACTGACCTTTCCTTTGCCTGTAGACAGGCCTAGTTAAGCAGCTGGAACTCAAGGAGCTGGCTCCTGAGAGCCCTGGAGGCTATCCTGGGGTAAGTAGATGGAGCAAAGGGAAGTAAGGAGCTGTACAGGCTTAAAAACCATGGGTAGGAAAAGGCCTGGTTTATCAAGCTACTTTGGCCTTGACATGGTCTCGGGTTTGCCGGCCAGAAGGAGCTCCTGCACCCGGACACTTAGATTGGGCGACACCTGTCAGAGTTGAGGCCAGACTGCAGTCTAGTGGCTGAGAATGTCACCAGTGCAGGAAGCTTCACGGGGTCATGAGTCACTGCATGGCTCAGAGGTCCGGGCAAGCCTGCCCTGCCCCGCCCAGACAAACCCGGTTAGGAGACCACAAACAAGACACAAAACTGGCAGAAACACAGATATCTGGCCAAAGCGCAGGGCTGACAGGCAGGCCGTGAATGAGAATAAAGACTGAGAGGGAAACAAAGGGTCAAGAAACACAAGCAAAGTAGAGAGCGAAACAAAAACAAGGTCCAGAGCGCTCAAGAGACATAAACCGGAGAGAAATACGAAGTTGACAGGGACAGAGTTGAGAGGCAGAAAGGGCAGGTGACAACAGGTGACAGAGACCGCAACAGACGTGAGACACGACTTAGAAGTAAACAGAGGCAGATACCAGCAAAGTCCGGGTGCAGCCCTTCTCTGGGCCTTGGCTCGAGCCCGAGGCCGCCACGCCGCACCCACACGGCGCCCCCGAAAGGCCGGCGGACGTACCGGGGCGGGATCTCTAAGCGCTCTGGCCCGCCGAGGTCCGCCGCCACGGGGTGACCTTGGACGAGACGCTGCGTCGGGGGCCCTGGGGTCGCGGTCCGCGTACGGGGCTGGCTGGAAACCACAGGAGTCGGACCGGGCTGCCGGGACTCCAACCGCCAGAGCGCGGCTGAAGCGTCCCGGTCTGCGGAACGGGCCTGCCGGGCCAGCGGCGCGCGCGCGCCGGGACCTGCAGAGAAGCCCTTAAACCTCTCCGGCTTCCCTCCCTGCCCTCTCGCTACCTGTTGTCCCGACTCCGCAGTACCTGCTAACGGCTCCGCGCTCACATAACCCGGCCGCCGGACACTTTCCGCCACCGGCGTCAGGCCCGTTCAAGCCGTCGCCGCCGCGACCGCCTCAGCCTGCGCCTCCCGCCCCCGGAAACGCTTCCCGGTTCCGCCCCCGAAACGCCAGTGCTTCCGGGGGTGCGTCAGAGAGAAAGCGGTGTGCGCATGCGGGACTGGCTTTCGGGGCGGGGCGGCCAGAGAGCGCGCCGTTGCAGCCGGCTGCGGCGCAGTGTAACCTGGCGCAGGTCAATTAGGTTTGAGGGCTGTTAGGGCGCTGCTGGGAATTAGGGAGCTGATACGAAGTCCTAACCCCATTTCAAACTTTATCTCTTTCTTGCTGCGTAGCAGAGATCGTGTCAAATTCATTTTTGCCTCCATAGTGCCTTTGGCACCTAGTGGATACTCAAGTCAATGTACAACGAAAGGAACAGTTCCCTCTGTGTGGCAGGCGCTGTGCTGGGTCCCCATTTTGTTCAGGTACTAGTGGAGATTCTTTGATCTCAGGGGAGGTAGATCATCACTGCTGCTAGAAGGAATGACTCATAATTATTTCTAGCAATATTGTAGACTCTTCAAATATAACAGCAACAAAATATGTTAAAATGCTAGGAGAAATATTGAAAGCACCCTTTTCAATACATAGATAAGCTTGTGAGAAAGTCAGGAAAATCATCTGAGACCAGGAAGAAAGCAGAAACCCAAGCCTAGGAAGTTAGATAGTGTTGATGTTCAGAAGTTATGCAGAGATACAGTCTGCATTGTTCTGATAGGTTAGCATGTGTGTTATACTGATAAATACTTTGAAAATCATCTCTAGAGGTAGGTAAACAATGATGATACTGCTAGCTGTAGGGGCACTTACCGAGGTCCAGGCAAGATGAGAGCCAAACTGGAAGATCAGGTTGGGACCCCAAAAGGGTATATATATTTAGGGGAAGGATAAACTAGAAGAAAAAAAAAAAATCTGCCCAGCAGAGCTAGGCAGCAAGGAAAGTTGTCTCTGTCTTGGCTCTAGGTAGAGAGGCAGTGCATTTTACCTCTAATGGATGCATGGTTAAAGTCTGACCATCACATTGCCACAATGTTTGCATGGTCCAAAAGCCCGCAAGCAGAACATTTCAATTTAAAATGGGTCTGAGTTGATAGTACCTCTGGTACTTGGCTGAAACACACATATGTCCTATCTGGAAGAACTCACTGTCAACCCAGATCTCAAAGAATTCCCACAGATAGGCTTCCAAATCAATATGATCTCACAATCAAGAACCACAAAACCCATAAGGAAATAAGCAGAGAAATCAAGTAGCAGAAGCAGATCTGTTTTCTTCTTTAGAAAGATTTTATTTATTTATTTTAGATTGAGAGAGCCAGCACAAATAGGGTAGGAGCAGAAGGAGAGGGGTGGGAATCAATCCCCGCATTAGGCTGTGTGCACAGAGCGGAATCTGCTGGAGGTTATTTCCTGAGATCATGACCTGAGCCGAGACTGACTTAACTGACTTGACTAACTGACTTAACTGACTGAGCCACCCAGGTGCCCCAAGATCTGTCTTAAACGAGTAGCTCATTGGAAGGTTTAAGCACAAATTAGATATAGCTGAAGAGAAATTAGTGCACTAAAAGATAGATTTGAGGAAAATAATCCAAACACCATCCCAGAGAGACAAAGAAAGGGAAAAGGGTGAGGAGGTTCATCATAGGCTTGTCAGTTATGTTAGGAAATTATAAAGTGAATGTGAGCAAGGCAATTGTCAAATAATGATTGAGAATTTTCCAGAATTGATGAAAGATAAGAATCCTTAAGAAACGCACTGAATTACCAGGTATGATAAGGAAATAGAAAACCTAGATCTATTCTGGAAGAACACCAAAGCACAAGAGATAAATTTTTTTAAAGATTTGTTTATTTTGAGAGAGAGAGGGAGAGAGAACACATGATCGTGGGGGGAGAGGCAGAGGGAGGTAATTTCCAGTAGATCACAATCTGAGCGAGGAGTCCAACAAGGGGTTTAATCTCACGACCCTGAGATCATGACATGAACAGAAACCAAGAGTTGGACACTCAACTGACTGAGCCATCCAGGCTTCCCAAAAGATGATTTTAAAAGCAGAGAGGAAAGTCAGACAATCTATAACGGAATAATGTGATACCAGCTCCTGATTGCTCAATGGCACTAATGGGAGCTGTGATAATAATAGTAGCATGAAATAATATCATTAATGAAATAATTGCCTTAATTTAATGAGAGAAAATAATTGTCTACCTAGAATTGTGTACTTAGTCTTTCAAGAATGAAAACACAGTACTATTCAGATGAACAAAAACGAAGAGTTTCAGGGTGCCTCAGTGTCCCAGTCGGTTAAATGTCTGACTTCACCTCAGGTCATGATCCTAGGATCCTGAGATCAATTCCTGCATCAGGTTCCCTGCGCAGCAAGGAGCCTGCTTCTCCCTCTGCCCCACCCTCTGCTTGTGCTCATTCTCTCTCTCAAAAATAAATAAATAAAAATTTTTTAAAAAGTTAAAAAAAAAACACCTAAGAGTTTCTACCAACAGAACTTAACTGAGGGAACTTCTAGAAGATATATTTCAAGAAGAAATAAAATCCCAGGAGGAAGATCTGAGTCACAATAAAGGTTGGTGAGCAAATAAAATAGCAAACATGAGTAAATATGAGCAAATAACAGGACAAGAAACAAGAACAATTTATAATTTGTGGGATTCAGAAAGGCAAAACAGAAATAATGGAGTGATTGTATGTAAAGTATAAGAGGATACTGGAAGGTAATGGCTGTATAGTAAGCTCATCCTTGAACATGTATGAGTTATCTGTTGCGTAACAAACAGCCACAAAACCTCAGAGGGATATAGCTATATTTGTTTATTACTCACACGTCTGGTGTCAGCTGGGCGTGGATTAGGAAGCTCTGCTGAGCTTGGCTGGACTTGCTGATGTGTCCGGGCTCAGCTAATCTAGAATGGTCTTGGCTAGGGGCCTTTACTCTGCTCCATGTGTCTCACTCACCAGCCAGGTTGTCAGGGTGAGTTCTCATGGCAATGGCAGGGAGACAAAAGAGAGCAATGGAAATGTACAAGCACATTTTCAAGACTCTTCTGACACCTAATTAGCCAAAGCAAATCACATGACTCAGTCCAGCGTTATAGCAGGAGGAAGCTATGAAGGATCATGGCAGAGGGTTTGCATACAGGGAAAGCAAAGAGTTGGAGCCACTGGTTCAATTAATCCAAGGTCTTTGTACTGTCCATAAAAATATTGATTAACATTAGACTTTAATTAAATATGAACGTTAGAATTGGGGGGTTACCACGGAAAGAATAAGAATAGAGCTACTGACCAAACCAGAGGAAGAAAAATAACATTTTAAGAAAGACTTTATTTATTTGAGAGAGAGAGTGCACATGAGTTGGGAGGAGGGGCAGAAGGAGAAGCCATCTCTCCACTGAGCAGGGAGCCCAACTTGGGGCTTAGTTCCAGGACCCTGGAATCATGACCTGAGCCAAAGGAAGATGCTTAACCAACTGAGCCACCATGGCACCCTGAAAACCAATATTTTAAAAAAGAAGGCAAGCAAGAAAGGAAGAAAAGGGGGAAAGGCAGAAATAAAAACATAATACAAAGCACAAAATAAAGTGGGAAAAGAAATTAAAGTGTATCAGCAGGGGCTCCTGGGTGGCTCAGTGGGTTAAAGCCTCTGCCTTTGGCTCAGGTCATGATCCCAGAGTCCTGGGATTGAGCCCTGCATTGGGATCTCTGCTCAGCGGGGAGCCTGCTTCCCTTCCTCTCTCTCTCTGCCTGCCTCTCTGCCTACTTGTGATCTCTCTCTCTCTTTCTGTCAAATAAATAAATAAAATCTTAAAAAAAATATATCCAGTTTCATTTGTAGGTGAGGCATCTGTAAACGAATGAGGAAAAGGTCCACAAATGTCTGGAAGGATTCTGCTCACAGATTGGTCCATAAATGTTTTTAGTTCTGTGTTTCATTAAAACTTGAGATGGGAAATCATGGGGGGAAACCATCAAGGTATATACTGTTTGAAACAAAAAGATGGAAAATTTGAATTAAAAGAATGGTAGAAGAGATTTCATGCTGTTCGCAATTTTAACTTTGGACAACATAGGCTTTAAGGCAAAGTCAATGCCAAAAATAGTGTGATGGATTGTAGTATCGTTTTCGATAATTTACAGCCCATCCCTGTAAGAGGCCTGCATTTCCCACTCCATGGACTTTAGGCTGAGTCATTGAAACATGAATGGAAGTCAAGTGTGCACTCCTGTGTTGAGCTTTATGAACCATGGCTCCCTCCCTCTGCCACAAGATGATATCCCAGATGCGGAGGCGGCCTGGGTCCTTGAATGAAGATACAGAATGAAGAATGGGTAGTGCTACACATGACCTACAAAGGACAGAGACCCTGAGTTAAGAATTAACTCTTATTGTCATAAGGCACTGACATTTTGCAGTCAGGTGTGGTCATGTAACTTTCTTTGACTCATGTCAAATGAAAAGTCTCATTTCCAGGTGGGTAACTTTAAGAGCGAGTGTGTGATTCATGCCGTCATGCTATCTTTCAGCCTAACTTTGCAAAAGATGACTAATAAAATGAAGCTACTTTATAATGAAAAGACTTCAGCTTACCAGAAGTACATAATCATTCTAAATTGTATCCACACAGCGTTATAGCTCCAAATGAGAGTCTAGAGTAAAAACTGGCGGTAGTACAAAAAGGAATTGACAAATTCACCATCATAGTGGAGACTGTGGAATTCATTAGTGCTGTCTACCAAATATTTGCCATCTTTCTCCTCGGTGTATGGTAAGCCCGCCCTTGAACCTAGATAGGACCATGCAACTTTCTTTGACCAGCAAGAGAAAGGAATCAGTTCCTTTTTCCA